CTAATTACACCCGGGTTAAATTTATACTTTACTACCCTTACCGCCGGCCGGATAACCTCTATACTATTAATAATATACGATATAAATCCCTTGAGGAAGTATTTAACACATATTAATAAGAATACAATTATCCAAATAATTAATACGGTAGACTTCCTGCCCTGGAACTAGAAGATGATTTTGAGCCTCCTAGTCGAAAAAAGGGGAAGCTAATAAGCCGGGCTGGGAAGATATTGTAAGGTAAGATCAATAACATATATCTTTATATCTTTATATCTTTATATTTTAATATCTATTACCATTTCTATAGGAATATACCCAATTGTATTATCGAGGAAGATCTTAGTAATATTTTAAGATATCGGCCTATCTACCTTACTTACAACTAGTATAATAATTATATAGCCAGATATTAAGAGTTTCTTAGTTAAGCCGGTAATTACTGGAAAGTACGGAAATCCGGCTTTAATCTTCCAAATCCTAACCCTATTACGCAATACACTTATAATACCCTAAATCCCGAGCAATGTATAGTATCTGATCCATTTACTAATTATTACCGTACTGTTCTCAATAATAAGGCTCCCCAATAACTACTTCTTTGAATCGACGGCAAAAGTAGCACCGGTAAATCCCATCTTATTTGGCTACTTTCTCATAAACTTATCAATATAGCTAGCGACCTTCCTATACCTATTATTATTACTGTTCCTATTAGTATAGCTGCTAACAACATCGACGGCCATATAATTTATTTACTCTTCAAGTTCCTATTTAGTATTGGCACTTTAAATAGTCTTAATAGTATTAGACTTTCTAGTATTTAGAAAGAGCTTAGAAAGTACAAATATTTAATTATTAATAAGAAATCCATATTGGGCATGAGGAATATATACTTTATTAATAAAAAATTGCGGCAAATATTTCTAGAGAATTAGTACGGACTCTTTGGTAGTGCCAATATTCTTCTACTTAGGGATTTCTTTCAATTATCCCCTATTGATTAGAAAGTATTATATTACTAGAAGGGGCGCCGCGGGGAGGATTATATAGATGGAGGGGAAGGCCCTTGCGCCGCTGCAAATAGGGGTGGAGCCGAGGGATAGGAAGTGAAGGGATGGGGCGGAGGTAAATATAAACGGGAGCGATGAGGCGGAGGGGTAGGGATGTAAATAGGAACATAGGATAGAAAAGCGGGAGGAAGGCGGAGGAAGGGGCGGTATGGGTTAAGACGGAGAAGCGGCGAAGGAAGGCGACGTCCCTAACCACATTCCTATTATTCTTATTGAGAAAGCCTACGTGCACCCACCCCAAACCTTCCCATACCTAATTTCACCCAATGTCAGCTGTCATGTAAATTATCGAGTTTTAGCGGTATTTTTGGCCGTTTTACATGTGTCACAACATCTGGATCACCCACCCATGTGAATCACCATAATCTGACCAACTCCCTATAACTCAAATCTCGTGATATTTGTATAGTATTAAGCTCATTACAATCTACCGTCTAAATACTAACATCTAACAGCTCAGAAAGCTCGTCAGATAAGGCAATTAATAATAACTCAATAGCCTCCTCCCTTCTCGCCTCCTCCCTTCTCGCCTCCTCCCTTCTCACCTCCTCTCGCCGCAGTACCTCCCGTACCCTCTCCACCTAATATCGACCTAACTCTTCATCCTCATCCTCGTCCTTATTATTATTAATTATAATATAACTACGAACTTTATTCTAAGTATTATAGTTATCTATTTCTTTAATACTAACCCCTAGTTTATATTATAAATAATTATAATATACTAAAGCTCGTATAGGAGCCGTATTCTTAAATTTACTTCGGAGGGCTATAGATTTAACCTTCCTACCGTAGGTTATTCAATTAGTTATTTAGGTGGGTAACCCACCGGGTAAAATAGTTTCGTTACTAAAAAGACTACCCTACTTAGGAGGTCGACCCTTTAGTATACCGTAAGTAACCGGACGAGATTATAGATACTTATCTACTATATCTTAATATAATAGTTAGTATAGGGAGGGACCGGGAAGGTTAGTATAGTTACTTATATATCGTTGAGTAAAATATTAGATTGGGTAATAGTCAGCTTTAGTAACCAAAACCGATTTACCCTCTTCCTTTTTAGCCTCCATTTTATAAGCATAGGGTAATCTATATTAGGATTTGAACTACTTTGTATAGGGTTTAAAATTAGTGCTAGGAAGCCTTGTAGTTAATTAATTAATTTAAAATTAATAATATTAATAATTAAATAATTTACATACCGAAATAGTAATATTAAGAGGGGTATTACCTACCTAAGGACGCCTATTCTAATCTATATGTACTCGTAAAGGCGAAGAGGCGATAATCTCTTCAAAATAAATATAATAGTAATTAATATATTAAGTATATACCTAGTACAAATTTACCAAACTGCTATAAGCAAATAAACTATACGATTTAAGCGAATTATTATTAAATTTATTCGGTAATATAGTTCTTTACTTATAATTAAAGTAATTCCTAATATAGTACCCCGCCTACTCTATTTTGCCAGGGAGTAAACCAATCGTAATCTACTTAACAATAGCTTCCTATACTTCCCTAAATTAATAATGTAAAAGCAATAAGGCACCTTCAAACTCTAATATCAATAGGGTATAAATTATATACTATTATATATAAAAGAACCCTACCCTAATATTAGTAACCTTCCTAGGAAGCGGACCTAAATTAGCCTACGTTCTAATAATTATTTTAACCTTCTTATATATATGGCGGACTTAATCGATATTATCTTTATTGTATTAATCTATAGCCTCCTAATATAATTATTAATTACCGCTTAATTACTAATAGAATTAACTAAAAACTTAGAAGAATCTTTATTACTACTTTACTCCTCCTCGAGCTACCTAATAAAATTATTATCATCTTATACTATACGCTCCCAATCGTCTTTAAAGTACTTAAAAATTTATAATTAATATACTATACGTATTATTAACGTTAAATAATTAGGAATACTCGATTAATAGTTCTAATAAGCTGGGCGTTACTGTTAATAATAATTATAATCGGCGCGAGGATATTAAATTCGTCGGTAGTCTGTTTAATATATTTAATTAATCAATTAAACCCTTTATCTCTCTTATTATTAAATACGGTTTAAAAGACTAGTATTAACGATTTTTCGGAGGTAAGTACAATACCCTATACGGTTGGTATATAATACTAGTTAGTCTTATATATAGTATCAAATAGTAAGCAATATAAATATTACTTCTACAATTTCTATTACTTCCTTATAAACTAAAAGGTATAACGCAATACACTAGGCTCTTTATCCTCGTTATTCTCCCTATCGCTATCCCCCTTATCGTAGTAATCGAACTTTATATATTTAATTATAATAAATTCGTAAATCTCGAATAAATGAACAGATACTTAAGTATTTTAATACCCCCCTCTTTCTTCCCTATATAACTACTATCGAATATTATCTAAATTTTTGTACGTAAAATAATATAGAAATTTAGTTTTAACCGTCGTATAAATAGTACGTATAATTAATTCCCGTTGTATAAGAAGACTATTAATATAGCCTACCTCTTCGTCGGTTAACGACTTAGTATAGAATATTAAATAGCTACCCAAATAGTACAATAGAAGATGCCCTTTATATATATAATCCTTCGCTTGTATAGTATAACTATAATTATTCTTTTTGAAGGATTAAATAATAATACGGAAGGGACAATCGGGCGTAGATTTTTTAATAATTATATATTATTTCTTATAGGGATTTAAGGGCGCTTATTTCGATAGCTAAGCGTAATTACAATAGAATACTATGCGCTAGGGAATCCTTATACCTACTTACTATACTTTAGACGTCTTAGGGAAGTAATTAATACGCTCTATTAAAATATTAAAGTAGTAGCAACGGCATATATTAATAATAGTGTAATACGTATTACCGAAGGAGTTTTAAAAAGGGAGGGCGAAGATTGGGTCGTCGGCGGGCACAGCCCATTCAGTATCGCAATTAAATAAAGCATCGCTTACAAAAGTAACCGACGAGGCAATTGAATCGCAACGGCGGGGTTGCACAAATAGAGGAACATCGGCAAAAGACATCTATATTAATCATAAGCAGTTGAACGCAATCAGGGGAAATTACAGACGGTTAAAATGAACTAATCTGAACAAAATTACGTATATTGAAAGTACTATACTATAATGTACTACGGCGTACAATAGTTGGCAGTGTAAAATAGGTGCAAATGACTGTGTAAAAAAGCGTGAAAGAAATGACTAAGTTAGAGTCGATATTGTATACATTAAAAAGACGAAATTTTGCGGGTAAAAACGAGGATTTCAATGTCAGGTGTCATCCAGCTGTCAGATCCACTTTTTTAGGGAAATTGGGTATGGGAAGGTTTGGGGTGGGTGCACGTAGGCTTTCTCTTCTTATTATTCTAGTATTAGGATAACGTAGCGAAGGAAGAGACGAAATTAGTTCGCTATAGTAATAGGTAAAAACCGTTATAGTTATAAACAAAGTAGGAACGGTGTAGGTAAGCTACAACCGAAATAAAGTTGGGGGTTTTCATCCGGCGGCGCTTAACGCCGTACGGTTTTCCCCTCTAGAGAACTAGAGAAGGACCCTATGCTAATAAAGCGCTATAGGTATATAGTTAGGGTAAAAGAATATTATTATATTACTAGGAACTTCTCCGATTTACAAATAATCCCGATACCTAACTTAAAGTATCCGGAGATAACAATGCCGATAAACTTTCTAATGAAATAGAGGAGTGATAGCGCAAAAGAAAGGAGGGTAAGCTGGACTTTATCTAATATAGCGGTCGTACTTAGTACTTTATATTCGATTGGAGTATTAAACTTAAGCAAATTGTCCGCTAATATGGTAATAACTAGGCTAGATTCCGTAAAGTATTAGAAGGCTTAAGAACTAATACCCCTACTATCCGTTATTAGGAATTATTATTAGTCCGTTGTAAACAGGTACTACCTATTAATAAACAATTAGATTTTGACGGTGCCTTGCGTATTTATTTAATTAATGCTATAGTTAATAAGTATAATCTTACTTATTTAAAAGCCTTGAACCGGCTAGTATTTGTAATTAAAACCGCTAATAATCTACGGAGTACTAAAGCTAAAAATATGTTGAGGCTAACAAATTGCACAATAAGTTGACTCTAATTATTAATAGTAAGGTTATACTTATAGAAAATCTCTAGACTGAAGGAGGGTTAGTTAACGGTTCGATTAGTACAATTATTAATATTATATAGGATGCTGATTAATAATATAATATTCAGTAAATTGGGAACCTATTATATTAATAAGTATATGCTAATTCTTTGTAGTCTGAAAGCCGGCGATCCCTCTTTTATTATTCTAGTACACTTTCCTAATTACTGCGGTCCTCCTTACTTCGAAAACTACCCCGATATTGATGCCTACATTATTCCCATCTTCCGGGTTACTCGTATATTCCAACGAGGCGTTACTTATTATACTAAAATCTAATTCCTATCAACTATTGTATACGCTATTATAGTATATAAATTATGAGACTAGACGCTAGATCGGGCTATATATAATATATCTAAGAAAGACTTTACGGCTAGGTTATTTTATATAACCGTATTTTGTATTCGTACTTTATAGGGTCTTATATTCGACGAGACCTTCTCTATTGATATATTGTGTATTAAAATAAGCAAGATACATCGCTACTGAACCCTCGATATTATTAAACGGCGTAATTAGTAACTAGTTCCCGGCTAGTTATTGCTACTATACGGACCCGAACGGACTCTTCCAATAATTAACTAGGCTCGCCGAATAGGTCCCAGACCGGGTAATATTAGTGAGGATTCTAATAATAATAATAATACTGATAACGGCCGGCCGCCTTAAAGCAGAGGAATAAGGGGTAGACCTTGTAGTAAATCTTATAGTAGATTGTTATTAAAAGTTTGTAATATTAATATTCTTTTACTTATACCTACTTCTAGTAAGAGACGTTGTAGTAAACTACTGGATAATAGAATTAGTAATATAACCCCTTCTAGGAGAGCTGGATTAAGGACTAGTTTAAGAAGGCCCCGTAGAAAACCTCGTAAGAGTATTAGTACTAATAATAGACCGCCGCAATTAAGAAGAAGATAGAATTATGTAAAAATAATATAGATATATTATAATTATAATTTAATTGTAGTTTCCTTTATATAAAAAGAATACAATGAAGCGTACTACTCCTTCCAAAATTAGTTTTTCCTATCTTTATATATCTTTCTCTCTCTTTCTCTCTTTCTCTCTATATTGTAAGGGATCTACGAGGTATACACGCAGGTAGGCCTTGAAAAGAGCTTGAAATAATCGACAAAGAGGAAGAGGGAAGTCTGTACCAGTAAGGCACAGAGCTTCTAGCTAAATATACGAAAGAGATGCGTGGGCATCGAAGGTGCCAGAAATGCCAAGACTAGAAAATGTGGCCCGTGCGCCGCACCCAGAGGGATGCACCTAATGGCACGCAGTACATTCGGCGCCAAGACGGCTAACAGTAGCCGATTGGCCCGTATACCTAACCAGAGGGCACGCCTGGCTTACACCGGGTGCCAGCCAGGCAAACAATACCCCTGGAAGCCAGTCCCATGACATATATTTCTATCTTTCTCTCGCATTCAACTTTTTATTAACTATCAACTATTAACTATATTAATTATTTTCGAAAACAATAATTTACAACTTAAACTATACTTCAATAATATATTAGAAAAAGAAGAAGAACGCTACAATTTACTTACTATTAAGCGCTAACGTACTACTATTAGGGGTTGGATTAGTATCAAAATAGTATTGCTAGCTAAAGATAAACTTTTTTATAAGAAGACTACTTCCGTTAAATAAAATACCGTTAAATAACTTTCTCTCCCTATACACTTAAAGTAGTATATTACTCTTCTTATTAACTATAATTTAGATTATTTTAATTCGGGATTTAGGTAACTGAATTTTACTACCGGCTTTATAAAAAAAAAACAAAAAAAACAAAGGAGTTTAGCTCGACTTATTCCGTGCACCCTAGTCGAATGCTTCATAGTATGCCCTCTTTCAAAGCAACTATCAATGGTACTGAGAAATAGTATGTCTTACAACGATCTTACATCTCCTATTCCCCCGAATAACGGATACCCCCGGACAATGGACTCTGATACGGGGGGTGACCTTCATTTACAATAGTAAATAAAATAAAGAAAGGAAGATATTGTAAGAAGGAGGAAGGCTTCCAGCCAGCCGTCTATACGTACTAAATATACAGTGTAAAGAATCAGAGCACGGGCTACGGGGTGGCCCGAGCACTGCAGTCTGGGTGCCCAGACTGGGCACGGCAAGGAAGCCTCCATAACAGCACAGTTAATCTGGGCTATTACAGCTAGTCTAAGTTATAAGACAGAAAGATATGGAAATCCAGGAATTTCCCTATCAGACCCCTACAACGGACAAATTAGAAGATAATAAGGATTTAAGAGACGTTAGTAGTAAATATTTAAGCGTTTAAATAAAAAATTAATTGCTAATAAGGAATTGAATACGAGAATTCTCTATATATTTATGTTAATAATAGTAAGAGCGTCCTCTATATTGCTATACTACGGGTGTCTCTATAATACCCCGGGGGGGGCTAGTAATAGTAGGGTAATTAGAAATAGATTATATAGGCTAATTAGAGCGTTTTAAACGTACTTACTAAATCCAATTGGGTTTATAAGCAAGATCATAAAAAGTTTCGTAGAAGGGGTTAGATCTAGTAATATTTTGGCTGGTATTGTACTCCTAAATACGAATTAAAGTTGCCAAGAACCTTCCCGTACTTCCCGTCTTAGCATTAGCGCTTAAAAAAATTAGCAAGGATTAATTGGATATATTCAACTTCTATTCCAATCTAGCTTTTTACGTACTATAAGACATTAGGGTTAGGGTTAGTTAGGGTTAGGGTTGGCGATTAGTATTAAAATTAGCAGTTAGGGTTAGGGTTAAGTCCGTAGGTGCAGGGGGCCGGCGAGAGGCCCCCGCTTATAAATAATTCCTTTACCTTATTAGGAGATTAGGGTTAGGGTTAGTAGCCGGGGGTGCAGGGGGCCGGCGAGGCCCCCAAATATAAAAATATTATTTAATATAAAAAAAAATACTTAGAATATTTCTTAATAATCTAGAGTAGGAAAAGAATATTATTTAATTTATATTAGGATGCTAAAGGACCACCGCCTCGGGCACCGGGAACCGGCCGGTATAGGTACAGAAGGAGACTCGGGACCGCCGGGGATAGAATACTATAACGCTACAATACTAATACTCTTTATTGTCTTACTAAATTCTTACTTAGGAGTATTAGGACAACCGATGCCTCCTTTCGCCTTACTAACTTCGAATTCAGGAGTATTAGGATATTCAATAAAATAGGGTTACAAGGGGGATACTCCGGCGCCGCATTATAGTAATACGCTAATCGGGAGCTTTATAACGATTAATTATATTAGAATAGAGTTTATACGAATATAAAAATAGTCCGAACAAATATTCTTTATTATAATTAGTAATTATTAATATATTTTTAAATTAACCCTTAATTTAATATCCTCTATATATAGCCGCAATTATAATTACCTTAACCTACCTTTCCCTTATATCCTAATAAATTAATAGCTTTTCCTCTAGGAATTAAGCCAATACTATTAAAATATATATATATAACGGTCGGTCTATTTCCCGAACTACTAAAGCAACCCCTTATTCCTCTTATATTACTACCCCTTTAACTACTACTATTAAAATTATATAACCCCCTCTACTTTTATTATAATAATACTAACTTACTATAAAGTTTATGGAAGAAAATAATAATAAAGATTACCCTCCTATATTGCCCCGGGCTCCCTACTAATACCCCTAACCTACTTAAACTAATAAATTCGTATATAAATAATAATTATTCGAATTTCAATTCGCTACTATTAAATTCCTTTTAAACTACTTCTTATTGCAAATATTTTAATAAAATTAATTCACCTTCGTAGGCCTCTCTAAATAAAATATTATTAGTAATTACCCGCCTATCCCTACTAATTTCCATTACTAAAATTACTTCTTCTATAATTAAATTTATATTTCTATTATATTTTCCCTTATTACCCCCTCTCCTACAATTATTACTATAATTATTCCCCTATTGTTCGCAATTTTACTTACCTATACCGAATATTATCCTAAGTATAATATTATTGAATTTATAGGCGAAAGTTTCTCTCAATTCTAAAATTACTTTTATAATATTAATATATACTTCTACGAATATCCCCGTACTTGATTTTTATTCACTATTAATTATATTAAAGGCAACCCTAAGAATACTTAAATTAAATATATACTAACCCTTCGGAATAAGTTTAATTATAATACTATTTATAATATATTAGCCTAGAATAACCTTTGTACCTTCTTAGAAATAGAATATAATAATAATATTTAAACTATTAAATAGTTTATTCACAATAAATTTAAACGTATATAATAAAGTACTTTTAAAATAATCTATAATTTCTATAACCGCAACTATACTAAAAAACTCAACTTCTCCTATAATTAGCCGGAATATATTTAAATTATTATATAGGTTAATCGGTTATATTCCCTATTTAAATAAAGCGTCCTTTTAATAACTAGTATCAATATAATAAATAAAGTAATAGTATATATAAAACGGTTAAAAGGCTTAGAAAGTATTGAACTATTTATATTATATTATTAGAATTGAATATTTTTAGGGTATATTTAACTATCTTCTTTATTTTAATCTACCCTTACCTTCTTATTAAATATATTCCCTCCTTTATTCCGTAGTACTATTCCTTTTAATTTATCCTATTGTCCCCTCCTAGCTTTTCTAATAAACTCTAATTTTATTTATCTCCTTTATAATTAAAAAGGTTATATATATAATTATTATATTCAACCGAAGCTACTAAATACCTACTACGAATATAGTATAACTGGTCATTTTATATTAATATATTAAAACCGAATTTATTTTTATTATAATAAAGCTAGTTACTAGCAATAGAATTATCCTACTCCCGTAGGCGTTCTATTGCGCAATATAAATACTATACTAATTATAGTTAGAATAGCGGCCGTACCTATTTAGGATAATATAAATAAATTATAATTATATTTAGAAATAATATTATTAATAAAGATTTATAGAGATTAGTAAAATATTTAAAGGTTAATAAATTTGGGCGCGGAATTAAACTTAATTAATAGGTATTTACTCCTATCAAATACGAAAATTAATCCTATACTCTATCGTTTTATTGACTTCTCCCTTCAACCTATTCATATATATAGTACAATTATTTATTTTATTAAAATATATAATCTTTATAATATTAAATAAATAAAATAAATTATATTTACTATTATCGAATCCCCGGCTGTAGAAATTATTTTCGGGTACCCCTAGCTTTATAAATAAAATCTAAATATTAATTAGCGGCGGCGGACGTTCTAATTCTATATTGAGGTTAACGATCTAAAATTAAATATAGTACTAATAAAGGAAATATATAATACTATAATTATTTTAGTAGGGCTAAAGTAGGATTTAATTCCTATATTAGACTTTAAGGAAATAATAAAGGTAAAAAAGGGTTTTCGCCCTCTAATATATATAAATATCCTATTTAAAATCCCCCCTTCCTTAGTAATAGAATTCGTAACCCTACCTATTATTCCGGAATTATCTAATACCCTACAAACCCCTACTCCTCCTATTAAAAATCTTTTAGGTTGTACTTAATAATATTTATTCCCTATCAGTACCCCTATTGGAATTAGCGCTATTAAAGTCCCTGGAATTACCGGAGGAGTTAGGGAGTAAATTTATTATTTTTAAACCGATTATTCCGTCAAAATATAAAGAATTCTAGTCGGTTTTTAAAGCCTTAGTAGTACCCCTATATTAATATAATTATTTAAAGTATTGTATCGATTTAATTGATAGAAACTCCGCGCCTTAAGGACCGATTTATATATTTGATATTAAAGAGTTAAAAATATTACGAAAATAATTATTTAAGGCGCTCTAAAAAGGGTAAACTCGACCCTCTATTAACCCAACGGGCGCCTTTATTATTCTTATTCCGAAGAAAAGCGGAAAATTAAAGCTTTATATTAAATTTAAAGGGTTTAATAAAGTAATAAAGAAGAATCGGACAATACTATCCCTTATTTAAAAAATCCTAAACTAATTATTGTTAATAGAAGTCTTTATAAAATTGGATTTAAAGAATATATACTATAAAATTCGGATTTAGAAAGGAAATGAAAAGAAAGTAATATTCCGCACAAAGTACGGGCACTACGAATTCTTAATTATACTAATAGGGTTAATAAATATACTAACGACATTTTAAATAAATATTAATAATATATTAATAAGGTTAATAAATACTATAAATATCGTTTACTTTAATAATGTTTAATTTATAATAAGAATAAAGAAGATTATAGTAACTATATTAAAAAAATCCTTTAATAGTTATAAAATCGGAACCTCCATATAAACCTAAATAAATACGAATTTTATATAAAAAGGGTATCATTCTTAAGCTATATCATTTCGCTGGAGGGCATTTCAATAAACCTAAAAAGAATTATAATAATTGTAAATTCAAAAACCCCGACGAGCGTTTATAATATTTAAATAATTTTAGGGTTTATAGGGTTTTATAAATACTTTGTAATATTATATTCGAAAGTGACCGCGCCTTTCACTGAGCTATTAAAGGGGAATAAACGGAGGGCGTTCGAATTAATAGAGAAAACAGAGAAAGTATTTACAAAATTAAAATAATTATTTCAAAAAGTACTAATACTATATTACTTTAATTTAACGTTAAGGATCCGAGTAGAAATAGATGCGTTAGACTTTATAATTAGAGCAATTCTTATATAATTGTATAGTAATAAATAGTATTTAATTGCGTTCTTTTTAAGGAAAAAATTGCTAAAGGAAATAAGGTATAGGGTTAAAAATAGGTAATTATTAATAATTATAAGGGTGTTAAAGGCGTAGAAGTAATATTTATTATATATAAATAAACTATTCTTAATAATTATAATATTTATAATACTTTTAAAAGAAGGAATAGGCGAGTATAAAGTAAAATTAGTAAATATTAAAATTAACGGCGTATAATTTCGGAATAGAATATTGGCTAAAAAATTAAATCCGGTGGACGGGTTATTAAAAGAACTGTAATTATAAGGAGTAGAATTAAAAGAAGGTAGCGAATACTTATTAATTAGAATTATTAAAGGGGGCGAAGTAAAGGGACGGGTAATAAAAAACGGCCGAATAGCGAAGGTACTAATAAAAAGGGTAATTTTAATTAGAAAAGAGAATTAGAAGGTAGTAGTAGGGGAATAGGAATAGTAGTAGGACGGTATTAAGAGGGAAGTAAATTAGGAATTAGAAAGGGAGGAAAATAAATTATATAAGGAGTAAAAAAAGCGGCCGAAAGCGGAGGGAAAGGATAGGAAGGAAGGGGTACCGACGAAGAAGATAAAATTCGCGGGCAAGGCTACTACTAATATAGGAAGGGAAATAAAAAGAATAGTTATAAGAAAAATAAGTATATATATAATAGTAATAAGGGTATAGAAGGATAATAGGCATTTACTACTAATAGAATAATAATTATCAAAGGTGTAGAAGGAGGATTTATTTATTATTAAAGAATTATAGAAGGATAGAGAAGAACGGAGGCGAATAAAGAATGAAAAAATAGGAGAGGATAAAACTCTATAATACCGCTAATAAATTTATATTCTAAAACGTATAAGAGCCGAATTATTATATATTTATTATAATAATACAATAGTTAGGTACCCGGGTTAAAGAAAAACGTTAAAGTAAATTAATTAATTCTACTATTAGCCTACTATCGTAACTAATATTAAAGCTTATATTCGCAAATACCCGGTATATTAGAAAGCCAAACTATATAATTACTAACCCTATAACTTTTTAAAATTATTACCTATTCCTATAATCCCCTAATAAAATATTTTATATAATTTTATTACCGGCCTACTAAAAGTATTTAACCCTATATTTAATTGGATTTATAATGTAATTTTAATTATTTTTAACCGTTTTACTAAATACGCTTTATATATTCCTATTTAAAAGATAATCGATATTCGGTAATTCGCCTTCTTTTTTTAATAGAATATTTTCTAGCAATTTAGCCTCCCAAACTCTATTATTTCAAATAGAGGTAATCTTTTTACTAATTAATTTTAGAAAATATATTATAAATTCTTAAATATCCGTAAGTATTTCAATACGGCCTAATACCCCTAAACGGATAGGCAAATAGAGAGGCAAAATTAAAATTTAGAATTATATTTCCAAATCTTCTATAGAATAGAGTAGACTAATTAGGCTAAAAAACTTATATTAGTCCAATAAATATATAATAATTATTTCTATATTATTATTAGAAAATCCCTATTGGAATTACTCTTCGGGTATTATCCGTAGGGGCTTATAAACCCGGATTAGGGGCGAAAGATAATATTCTTTACAATAATTACCAATCGAATTGTAAAATTACTTCGAAGTTGGGCAAAAATTGTCGAAATTTTAGGAATTATTAATTAAAGATATACAAAATAGTATAATAAAGCCCGGAAATTGAAGGAGTTTAATATAGGGAGTTAGGTTTTATTTAATACGAAATATATTAAATAACGACGCCCAAGTACTAAATTAACTAATAAATTATTAAAACTACTCTAAATTACTAAAATTATTAGAAATTAAAAGATAGCGTACCAATTTATACTCCTAGTACAATACTAAATCTACTTAATATTCCTAATTACCCTACTAAGATTATACTATAGTAATCTAATTATAATTATACTATAAAGAGAAATTCTAAATATTAAGGAAAATAATATTTAATATAAAATTAAATTAATTATAAAGTATCGAGGGTCCGGCTACTAATATTAATTCTAAATTAAATAGAAAGAGTATCTAGATAATAAGAATTCGTAGGTTCTATAAAGAGATATAAACTGCCTAGGTCTTCTCAAAGACTATAAAGTAAGAAAAATATAATAGTAAAAAAATTAAAGTAGGCTAAATACTAAATTAATAAAAATTCATTAAATAGAAGTAGGAGAATAATAAATATTTAGCACTTAAGAATATAAAATGAAAATATAAAATGTAAAATATCAATATAAAACGCAAAATAAAAATATAAAATACAAATGTAAGATGTAAAGTGAAAATGTTAAATATAGTTATAAATTGGAAATTAAAAAGGAAGGGACGTAGGAGAGCGTAAGAGGGATAATAGAGAGGAGGGCAATATATTAAAGTAATAGTAAGAGAAAGTAAATTAGAATTATTATAGTAAATTAATAAGGCGCTAAGAAGAATAAATTTATATTCTCTATTATTACTTCTAAACAAAAAATTCTTTAATAGTATTAATTATAATCGATATAGGGTTAGAACCTATAATTTTAAAAAGAATATTCCTACGTACTACTATGCTTATTAATATTATTAACCGGTACTATTTTATACTATTTATTCTTTATAATCCTCCCGAATAAATATTAATAATTTATTTAATTTTATATTTATAACCTCCAATTCTCCGTTAATAGTATAACGCTACAAGCCCTAACTATAATTAATAGGAGGGGTTAGGCAAATAAGGGAATTCTATATTAAAATATTTATTAAAGAACTACTGTTACTACCGAAAGTACTACTATTAGCGGCTACTGGACTACTATTATTATTAATACTATTAATAGTATAATAATTAAAGTTTTAATACTATTCGATACTAAAATAATTAGTGTAAAATATATTAAATAAAGTTGTAGGAAGGCTATTGGTAATTAGGCGTACCTATATTATATCCTAAAAAGAGAATGCGTATTAATATAAATACTATAAAGTAATAATAGGCAAAGGGGTACTAATATTAATAAGAACTATAACCTCGGCCGCTATAGTTTATAAAGTATTCCGAAGGCTATATATGCTATAAGGAACTTCTAATATATATCTACCTTACGTTAAAATATACTATAATTTCTTAATAAATTTTGGAGGGTATTAATAAAGAGGAAAATAAAAAATAGTAAAAAAAAAGGACTAACCTTTAATTTAATAAATATATAAAGCCATTAACCGAATAGCTTCATTTAAATTAAAGGGGCCGATATCTACGAACGTTTAAGTTAGAGTAATATTATATCCTATATAAATTAAAGGGCGGACTTCGCTATAAAAGATTAGTAAAAAGCGTAGGAGGATAGAATAGTATAGCAAATAAAAAATAAAGGAGAAGGAAAAGTATATTAATCGGGCTCGAGGGCGAAGCGGCGGTTTATTTATAGAATAATAATAAAAGTACGTACGTCCGCAATAGGGGCCGGTTCTAATAAAAGGGAGGGGATAATTAAAATAGTTTTAAAGTTAAATGGGAGGGAGATATTAATAAATTCGTTAGAAAAGGAATTAATAAATATAGTTGCAAAAATAAAATTATAAAGAAAAAGAAAGAGGAGTAAAGAAGGGAAGGGGAAGGGGATATTATATAAATAATAGAGGAAGTTTTTATATAAATACAAATTAGGGTAAATAAATATAAAGTAAAATAGGGTAAAAGAAATTAATAGGTAATAAAATAATAAAATAGGAAGGAATAAATAGGAAGAGGAGAAGCGAATATAAAGAGTAGAAAAAAGAGAATAGAATAAATAAGTAGTAATTGTAAATATTAAAAGGTAGGAAGGAAGGAAGTAAAAAGAAGGTATGTAATTAAAAATAGGTATTATATATTATAGGGGTAAAATTCAAATAGAAAGTACAATAATAGAATTAGGCCGGGAGAAAAGAAAGAAGTAGGATAATTAGGGGGGGAGATTTAATAATTTAAAAATACTAGCGAATAATTAAGAGGTATAAGTATATTAAGGGCGTAGGAGCTTTAAAGAATAAAAAAAAAGGTATTATAAAGAGAAAAAGTATTAACGCTAAAAATTAGAATTAAAAATTAGAAGTTCTAGGGATAAAACCTATAAAAGGGAAGGTTATATTAGGATACTAAAGGACTATTACTTCGGGTATTAGGAACCGGCCGGTATAAGTATAAAAGGAGATTTAGGATTGCTGGGGATAGAATATTATAATATTATAATACTAATACTCTTTATTCTTTTATTAAATTCTTGTTTAGGAGTACTAAGATAATTAATACTTCCTTTCACCTTATTAACTTCGAATTCGAGAATATCAAAATATTTAATAAAATAGGGTTACAAGGGGGACGCTCCGGTACTATATTATAGCGGTACGCTAATTGGGAATTCTATAACAATTAGCTATATTAGAATAGAGTTTGTACGAATATAAAAATAATCCGAATAGGCATCCTTTATTGTAATTGGTAATTATTAATACATCTTTGAGTTAACCCCTAACTTAACGTCCTCTACGTATGGCCGCGATTGTAGTTACTTCAACCTACCTTTCTCTTACGTCCTAACAATTTATATTTTTAAAACTTTTTATTACTTTAAAGTAGGGTAGATCTATAGGCGTTTTATTATCTTCATTAACCACATTAGGCTCCGGCTAAGGAACGACTATTTTATAGTGAGTAGTCAGGTATAGTTAAAATACTATATTTAACAAAGAGAGTAAGGGAAGATTATACTAAAAGGGTGCAGTCAAAAGAAGGTTTTATAGTCGGGCGTACGGGCTAGGCAAATACGTGAGCTGGCCAACCAGAAGGCTCGCATCCCTATCGATAAGGCACGAACCCGGCTTGGCAGAGCCAAGCCAATTCCTCGGGCGCCAGCCCCATAACAGCGAGAGCTTCGTGAGCACTGTGTGTTCGTCGACCTAACCAGGAGGTTTAACTTACCCATCTCACCATAGTATATATCCAACTAAGTACACGCAATATCAACTCTAGCTTGGTTATATTTTTCGTACTTCTTTACGCGGTCTTTGTACCCATTTTATACCGCCAACTACCGGACGTCGCACTACATCACCCTTAATCTGCGCAACTTCGCCATCGCGATCTAAATACCTCGTCGGTTAGTGCCTTTGCAAACAAAGCTTCGTTTGACCGCGATACCGGATATT